TGCACACACTGTGACTGATTAATCCAGATTAATTACTAGGGCAGGGTTCAGTCTGATTGGGCCAACGAGCAACGTGGACAAGTGTCGAGTCGAAATCTGCGATTTATTAAAAACCGCTCGAAGGATTAGGAGGAAGGAGGAGAAAAATCTCTGTTTCTAAAAGAGGTCCATGAACAAAACAAACAAAGAAACAAAAACATGGACAAACCAGAATTATAGAACAGTGGATTTCACCTTTTTACAGCGCTCAAAATACTGTTTCAAGTGCTACACAACATGATCCAATTTTCAAAATAATTATTTTAGTAATACGCTGTTAAAGAACAGTAAAAAAAAAACAAAAAACAAACAAGAAAAAAAATCATTAGCATCACTTTTGGATTCTGTCACTTTAGCGTAGTTTGTTAATTCAAATGAACCGTCAGTAGGGGGCGGGGCAGATCATTCAATGGACCAGATCTTGAAGACCATCACATTATGTCGAATGTCGGCAGCCTCTTGAAATGTCGACGTTAAGCTAACGTTTCTTAACCACACAGCGACTGATGAAAAGCCGCTGACATCAGAGTCGTGACAGCTGAGATTTCATAGGAATCCTTTGTGTCAGACAGTGACATTTAAATGACTCTTGGAACCGTTGAAGAATTATCACAGCTGCCGAGGATGTTTTTCGGTGCCGTTTGTCTTTTGGACGGATTACGCAAAAACTTCTAACGACTAATATTCTTTCCAGCGGAGAAGAAGCATCAACTCCGGGGTTGGTTCTGATTTAGAGGATTGGTTCTGTTAGGGAAGCCATAAATTAGAACCAACAGCCTTTTAGCTGAGAAGAATTCTTGTAGCCGCCCTCCTTATTGGATCGACATGAAAATGGAACCGATATTTCTAGGTCAGGCCCATTTTTTTTATATATTTTTTTCCACTGCAAATTTTATCAAGATGAGCAGAAATCGTGGGATTTACAAAGATTTGAGTTGAAAGATTTTAGGAAAAGTCAGACTTGTATTTGTCATAATTGTATTTATTTTCAAGAGAAATATTCTCAAATGAGGATTTTGCATCAACAGAGAATAAATTCTTAATATATAAAAAAGGCGTTTTAGGGGAAATCATGCGAAAAAGAACGAGAAGAGGATAGAAAAAAATAAGACAGGTGAAGAAATGAGTCTGTTTCTGAAAGAAGGTTCTGGATTTAATGGATCTTTACATTATTAGGTTTTTTTGGGGGGGGGCATAATGGTGTAAATGACATTGTCACTCATAAATAAGATGAACCCTGAATTGACATATTTAAAAAAAATCCTTCCTGGAATTTAGTGCCAATAAACCTGATTTTTTGGGGTCAGTTTGACCCCAGGGTCAACAGAGGGGTTCAATATTTGGACCAGACGTGTCAAAGAGCGGCTGCTGTCCTTACCTTGGAGCCCGTTCCCATTGGTGGTGGTGCACGAGGGCGGAGGGGAGGAGGAGGGTCTGACCACCGGGGCGAAGGCGGACTTCTGCTTGACGGCCGCTGAAACCATGTTGGCCGGAGAGAAGGAGAAGACACCGGAGGAGGAGGAGCAGTTGGACGGGAGGGAGGTGGAGGAGGCCATGGTGGGACTGGATGGGACGACTGACGGGGGGAGAAAGAAGGCGGGATTAGGATTAGGATTAAATACAGTTGAATATGTTTGTATAATAATAGTTTAATACTGTCTGGTTCTGAAGCCCAAAATAATTCATAAAGATAAAAAAAAAATTAAAAATTAAAAAAAATATTTAAAATTGCACTTTTAACTTGACCATTGGTATAAAAATTTATAAAAAAAAATATTATTATTTACAAATGTATAATTGTATTTAAAGTTGGGCAAAAAAAGCAGAAAAAAATATTTAAAAAACGTAGTCACAAATACACGCTTATTGTAAAACAAAATAACAAATAAACTAAGAAAATAAATAAATAATTATTTGAGCTAAATCAGCTAAAGGTTAGCTGTTTGAGCTAACTTTTAGCTGTGAGCTAAAGGAATCCAGTTTCATCAGACCAAACCGAAGTTGGTGAATTAGCATCAACTCTGTTCAACACTTTATCAGGTAAATACACGGTGTATATTTACAGGAAGTGACATCATCACCACCTACACTGTCATTATCCTCATCATCAATGACATCATCAATGTCACCATGGAGGAAACCCAGCCCGTCTCTGTCTCCTCCCTCCTTCTCTGTTCCACTTACAGCTAAATGGAAAAGAGATGCAATTAAACAAAAGAGGGAGAGAGAGAGAGAGAGAGAGAGAGAGAGAGAAGAAGAAGAAAGGTGTGGCTGTCAGATGAAAGGCGTCCGGGGGAGGAGGAGGGAGGAGATGGATGGAGGACCAAATGGATCTATGGGAAGATCTATGGGAAGTGAGTCGATGATTGTTTTTGAACACCCAGAGACAGGAAGCCTCATGGGAGAATCTCCACACATCACATCTGAGGCGGAGACATTTCGTCTCTGCCTTGAGTGTCTTCATGTGCTTCTTCTCCTCCCCCCTCCCTCTCTCACCCCCAGCCTAGAGTGTAGGTGGAACAGTTCTCCTGGTTCTGGTTCTACTTTAACTGCTTCGTTTTCTTCCGGTAAACTCTTCTAAATTCCGGACAACAATTTTTGACCTCAGGTCCAAACCACCTCAACCGTCGTCTTCTAACTGCTAACCCTGGGCTGTCCCTCCCACCTGCTCACTTCCTGTATTCATTCCCAGCATCTATAACTCAGTACATATATATATATATATATATATAAATATATATATATATATATATATATGTGTGTATTTGTGTGTGTTGTATATGTGTTTTTTTTTTTTGCGTACTCACTGGCATAAGGCGAGTTGGCTGCAGAGCCGTTGAGGAACGTGGGCGATCCTCCCAGGTTGGTCATGCCTGCGTTGTTAGCGTAGCCGTTCATGCTGCTGGTGACGGAGGTGTAACTGCTCTGCTGCGGCGTGGAGCTAGGCACGTAACCGTGTGGAGACACGCTGCTGCGCACGAAACCTGAGCACAAAAAAAAAAAAAAACAGAAAAAAATCTTCAACACTGATTTAGAGTTCATTAAATAATAATTAAAACTAATTATAAAAACGGTGATCCGTGCAGCCCATAGAAACCCTCCTATGACCCACGTGGACCAGACTGCTGGGTCTCACCCTGATTGGCCTGTGAAGGTTCGGAAACATTGACCGACAGCTGCCCGGTGAAAGAGTTGACCCCCATCATGCCGGAGTGGGCGGAGCCGGAGAGCTGGGTGTGTCCTCGTGGAACGTTGTAGAGCGCTTCGGCGATGTCCGCGGCTCGCTTCAGGATGATCTCCTGCAGGAGAACGGTGGAAAAATGAGTTCTGGGAGAATGGTAAAAAACGACGGCAAACACGTGAGCAGAGTTCGATTCCTACCTGGTTATTGTGGGGCAAACCATACAGGGCTTCTACAAGGTCGGCCGCTCTCTTCAGAATGACCTCCTGTGGACGAAGAAGGGAATTACAATGTAATGTCTGTGATATTGAAGTTGTTCCATGTTGTACAGATGACTTACAGTGAGGAAAAGAATCATTTCTGATTTT